ACTGATCCAAGTATGGTTGAAATAGTTTGTATATCAAGGTTCACAATGTAGCAGGAGCATTGGTTAGCCAAAAAGTCATAACGATAGATTCAAATAACTCATAACTGGTCACACAAGTGGTCTTCAGTTCATCTCCTTCTGTTGTCCTCACTTGGTAGTAACTTGATTGGAGATCCAATTTTTAGAAGTACCTTGCACTCCCCAATTGATCAAAAAGATCGGTGATGAGGGGAATTGGGCATTTGTTCTTCAAAGTAATTTTGTTTAAATCTCGGTAGTCTATGCACCTACGTAGGGAACCATCTTTCTTTTTCTGAAATAAAACTGGGGCATCATATGGGGCTTTAGATGGTTGGATGTGACTTGCCTCCAACAACTCTTTTAATTTTTTTATGTAGCTCTGCCAACTCTTGAGGTGCCACACGGTAAGCTCCCATTGTTGGTGGCTTAGTTCTTGACTCCAGCTCAATATGGTGATCAATCTCCCTTATTGGTGGTAGTTCTTTTGGTAATTTTGGTGGTAAAACATCTTTAAACTCTTCCAGTACTACCACCACTTCCCTTGAGAAGTTTTCTAGACCTCAACCAAAAATGAGGTCAACAGGGCCATGAAGAACAACCAAGTATCTCTCCTCCTCTCGTCGGATGCCCTTCTTGAATTGAATGATAGATAGCATTTTGGCTTCTTTTTTCCTAGTCCTTGTTGTCGGTACTAGGCAAGTTTGGTTGCCCTCCATGATGCACATGCTATTGGAAAATGATATTGAGAACGCTCTCACTTGATCCAAGAACTCCAGGCCAAGGATCACCATAAAATCTTCCATTGGAATGATGGACAAATTCAATGTCTTTGACGAATCTCCGACACAGGTCTTCACTCCTTTGGCCACTCCATGGATTGGCCTAGCCGCTGAGTTGACTGATTTGATGGAGCCCCCTCCTCCAGTTACATGTAGATCCATCCTCTTTTATTCTTCAATAGAGATGAAGTTGTGAGAAGGTCTCGTATCTATCATTACTGTACTAGATGTCCCACCTGTAATCACCTCCACAAAGAGAAGTCCTTTTGACGAGGTTTTTGTAGAGGAGTGCACCACATTGAGTAGTTGCATTATTCCCACTTATGATGTCATTATGCTTTCTTCTTCCTCTTGATGGCTTGCAAGGAGAGAGTTCAAAGCCTTCTTCTGAGGGCAATCCCTTGCCCAATGAGGTCCTCCACAAAGAAAACAGTTGTAGTGTGGTTTGGTTTTGTTGTTATTGTTAGACTTCCCCTTGTCTTTTGCCTTACATGGGGTTGATTTGTGAAGGGTCTCTTCCTTGTATTGATCTTACACTCCTTACTTTTGACATAGTTATTCTTCTTTTCCCTTAGCTTTATAGACTCCTTTGTATAGTCAGCCAAGCTTTTTGCGATGGTGATGGTAGTAACAAGATCTTGTGCTTCACACCTCCTAAGCTCAGTCTTCACCCACTGTTGGCGTCCATCCATGAAGTTGAGTAGAACATATTGTCAAATATGTTTCGAATTTTAAGGACCAAGCTAGTAAAGTCCTTAAAATATTCCCGAATCAATTATGTTTTCTTGAGTCTTCGTAATCGAACTCTAGCCTCATCCTTCGCACTCTTGGGGTAGAATTGCCTCTAGCTCCCTTTTGAAGTCGTCAAAGGTGGATATGGTGCACATACCTTTCTCGATGTCTCCACACATTCTTCTCCATCAAAGCATAGTGATGTATGGGAGATAAAAGGTTGCAAATTGTATGCTTTCCCCTTCATTCGTAATCCCCATCGCTCCAAAGTATTGGTCGGGTCCCCATAGAAAGTTGTCTACTTATTTGGGGTTGCAATGTCCCCCAAAACTCTATGGTTTTGGTGCTTTGATGTGTTTTGCTTTGAAAGTATGATTGCTGGTGGATATTGCTGGTGGATATTGCTAGTGTTGTCTTGCATAGTGAAGTGTTTCCACACATCTCCTCTAAGCTAGCACGTACGACGTTCATCTCGTCTTCATGGGCTCTTCGTACCACCCGGAGCTCCCCCATGAAGTCCTCCCGTATCTTAGCCATTTGGTCTCTTAAGGAATCCTCTAATTAAATTATCATGCATCTGAATTGACCTCCTTCTTGAGTCCATCAACCTTTTGGCTAAGATCCACTATCTGATCCTCCACACCATTCACTGCCTCTTCCACCTGAGCAAGGCGTGAATCAAAGTCGTGCATGATGTCCTTGGACCTTCCAATTGGTTTGGATGTAGCTAAATCTTGTTGATTTTGATGACCTCGCTCTTGTTAAGATGATTCCACATTAGTGACTTCAAACTCCATTATGTACTCTCTTATGCTCTTTGTCATATCTTCAAAATAAGACTCTAATACTAACTATCATGGACTAACTTATTTCAAGTCACCCATGCGGCATTAGTATTCTTCCTTTGCACTAAATCAGCCTAACTCTCATAATTATTGGACTTGTAAGCACAAAATAATCTTGGAAAAAGAATAGATAAAAGTATTGGAGAAAGAAACACTTTACTAAGATCAAGTGGTTACAACAGCTGAATGCTTGGAAACCTTAGATGGAGAGATTCCTATTTATAGTCCCCTCCAAGTCTAAGGGAATTTTCAAGATTACATTAGAATATTCTAGTTTCTAGAAAGTTCCACACCATTCTCTTACATACATTCATAGCACTAGATCTTTCTAGGTTATTCTTGGGTTATCATCTGAGCTTCCTTCTAATATTCTTTAGAATGCGGTGAATTCATTCTTGGGTTATCCTCTGAGCTTCCTTCTAATATATTTTAGAATGCGGTGAAGTCATCTAGGGTTACTTGGATTACTCTCATCCATCTGATCATTTTTAGAATATTTCATCTTATGGTTGTCTTGCCAATTTATTTTAACTTGGAAGAGTGTGACATACAACCCTTTAAAAAAGTTTTTTTTACAAGTTGTTGCGTTAGTGGAAAACTTTGCCGATGACTGGATGACTTTGCCACATCAGCAGCAAAGTTGTCATTGACTTGACGATTTTTTAGATTCTCAAAAATTTTTTTATATGTCAATTTTAAAAAATCCTATTTTGAAATTTTCGCCTTAAAATCATAGAAGCATGTTAACATTTCATAGTCCTTCCATAAGATGTACTGTTCGTCTTCACTATGCATGGTAAGAAGCGAATCATATGTACTGTTCAGGAGGTTTGAATGAAGCATAATTAATTTCATTACATCTGTGTGTTATCTAATAAAATAATTGATACGCCACCAACAAATTTTCATCATCCATCACGAATCTAGAGGCAACCTTTTGAGCAAGAAAAATTCAAATCTTGATAAAAAAAGTCATCTGGAGCTCCGATTTCAGTAAATTTATAATCAAACTAACCGGCTCAATGAGAAGGACCCAATGATATCAAGGTTAGTCTAATACAAGTCAAATAAAGCCCAAATCAAGCAATTGAATCATTCTTGGAAGATTTCCAGACACATTTGAAAAATCAAACAAATGTCGAATCAGCGAGTTTATAGTCAAATCGAGCGTCTCGATAAGACAAATCCAACGAGCCCAAGATTGCTCAATTCCGACATCATTAAAGCACTCAATTTTCCATCAAATGCCATTCGATCGAGGGAAGTTCTCCAGACCGTCAAATCAAAATGGTTCAATGAGTTTATAATGAATCGAGTGTCTCGACAAGATGAATCCAACAAGCCTAAGATTACTCTATTCCGACATCGTTAAGACCTTCAAATGTCCATCAAACGTCATCCCAGTCAAAGAAAATTCTCCTGACTTTCAGATCAAGGTGGTTTATATTCCTACATTAATTGCACCCAGAACTTTATAAATAGAGCCTCATTCCTCTCATGAGAGGGGAGAGAACTTGATGCATGGGAAAAAAGCTTTGAGAAGGAGCTCAAGTCTTGCATCACTTCTGCCACTGTCGACCAACACTTGCCGGCTACCTTCAATCATCACTAATTGATGCCCATTTCTTATGACAAATTCCTTCGTGCAACGACATTGTAACTCGAGAGACATTGTATTAATTTCCTGCCTGTAGGACAAGGGTTGTACTTGTAATATTTAGTTTATAGTGGATTTTTATAATTAGGCCAAACCCCATGGTTTTTTCCCTTTATGGGCTTTCCACGTAAAAACTTCTGGTGTCATCACAGGTTGATTCCTTTTCATCTGAGTGTGTGTTGAATCCTAGTGCAATGCCAAGAAGATAATCCATTACTCTACCGCTACAAATTTTCTAGCACACATCAGTTTGGTGTCATCTATGGGAAAGTTTCAATCCCACAACTAAAGTACTTACGTGGTTTACAACATAGCCACCAGACCCAATATTTGTGAAAACGGGGCATCCTGCTCCTACACCCATCGCTCCAGGGAGCTGTCACGAAGCCAAGGGCGGCATGCTTCTTCATCTTCCCACCCTAGAAGAGGTTATCCTGCCAACGAAGGCTTTCGGGTCCTTCTATAGAAGATTGAATGCGCAAAATGGAGGAGTCTCAACTAGAGATCCTACACGGGGGATCCAAACACCAGCTGCCTACACCATTGGATGAAATTTGTTTACCATTAACTCCATGACCTACAAGAAACATACTGCTCGAAGGAACTTGTACCGGCCCACCTCCTTAAGAATGAACACTTCCCCTGTCAGGTCGTGATGCTAAACTCCTAGATACTGCAAGTTTCACTCATCCATCCTGTGCAGCTGTGGACCCCCCCCCAACTTCGCCACATCTTCCTGCCATTCCAGATGATGTCATTCATATCGAACTATGATGCCTCATCCAGGAAGAGTTCCCCTTAGAGAAAAATGATCGCTTCTACACTCACTGTAACATACATGAATCCTCTCCCTTAGCTAATGCAGTCTTCCAACACCCCATCCCAACAGGCTTTAAGCTTTTGAACATCAATACATATGAAGGGATAATCGACCCCTACGATCATATTGATCATTATTGAACCATCATGCACATTCAACGTACCTCTGATGCACTTTTGTGCCAAGTGTTCCCGACTACTCTTAAAGGACAAGCTCGAACATGGTTCTACTCTTCGTTGAGGGACATTGTAAACACCTTTAATGAGCTTGCCAGACTGTTCACAGAGCAGTTCATCGCAAATCAAAGGATCATCAAGGATTCATCCCATCTCTCGGTAGTTCACCAAAGTGAAGGAGAGTCACTGAAGGACTACTTCCGCAAATTCTCTACTGAAGCCCGTCAGATTCCGGGAGTAGATTCAGAGTTACTAAGAGGAGTCTTCCTTGGGGGGCTCCGCTCAGGACCCTTTTACTCATCATTGATGTGGGAACAGTTCACTCTTATGTTGACCTTGTTCACCGTGTTGAGGCACAAATCTCTGGATGAGGCCATCATTGCTCATAAGGAATAATTTGAGCGATTGGGGGACAAGCACAAGAATAACGATAGGGATACCAATCAAATCTCACAACAAAAAAAGTTTAGACCACAGGGGAATTATGAGCAACAATCAAAAAAATAATACACGCCACTCAGCACGTCACATGTTAGCATCTTAATGACAATCAATGATCAAGAGACTCTCAAGTGGTCGAAGCCGTTAAGAAATACAGATGGTGGAGATCAGTCTCAATATTTTCATTTCCACCAAGCAAAAGGACATTCAAATGAAAGATGTTTTCAGCTAAAGGAAGAAATTGAACGTCTAATATGCCAAGGTCACCTGGGTCATTACTTACAAGAGCAATGGGAGGGGAACCATAAGAGAATCGTTGGAGTTTTCGAATGAAAAGTATAACCCCAACTCATCTTATCTGAGTAAAAGAATGACTTATAAACTCTTAATTTTATTTTAGCAAAATTTTCATGTTGTTTTAAAATGTCATTTCAATGAAATTTTCTTATTTTCTCATGAAAGATTTTTATGTAGAAAGTCCCCTTGAGGATCAGAAACTACCATGCCCCTAAAAGTCAAGCCCAAGATGCAAGACTCAACGAAAAGATACGATACTCCTAAAAGTCAAGCTTAAGCGACAAGGCTCAATGAGAAGCTACCATGCTTCTGGAAAACGAGCCCAAGAGGCAAGTCTCGATGAGAAACTAGTAATGGACAGGGTCCTTGTTGACCTCATTTTTGGTTGAGGTCTAGTTTTTCCTCTTTAGTAGCCTAGGGTCTAGCCAGTATGTTTAGATTAAGGTTTAGGTTGTGACTGGAAAAGAACCTTCACCAATAGAAATTCTAAACTCTTCTTTGCTCAACTTGAAGTTCCACATATTGGTCCTAACCTCTAGTACTTAGTAGGTGAGGTCAATATGGAGGAGCTCAAGGGGAGTGCCCATAGGATGGTCAGACCTTATGACTAACCTTGGGTGATCTGGTTTTGGTTGGGCTAATTTGCACACACCACACTCTGTCACTTACCCCAAACCCTAGGACCTCTTAGTTTGGTCTCCTCACCCCTTTTGGAAAGCTCATGTGGATGATCTTATACCCTTAGTCTTTGGCTAAGAGGGTTAGAGCCAACATATTGAGCATCCAAAATGAGTCCTCACATGACTTCTATTATTTTGGTATGACTTCATGGTTTATTGGCCCATTTTGGCCCGAAACCACCAAATTACCAAAATACCCCAACAACCCTAATTTTTGCCAAAATTTTCAAAATTACCCCAAATACCCAAATTTGTTCAAAAATCATTTCAAAACACTCACCACTACCTAAATTGACCAAAATTCACCAAAATCACCAAATTTTCAAAATACCTAAAAAATTACCAAAATTACCAAAATACCCCTCATGACCTAAAAATTTCCAAAAATTCCAATAATCGCAAATATTCCCAATTTCAATTTTTGATCATCAATTTGATCATATTTGACCAATTTTACCCAATTTGACCAAAAATTTCAATTTACCCCCATATTTGACCAATTTTACCCAATTTAACCAAAAATTTCAATTTACCTTTAAAGGCTCAAATGTCCCCTAATTAACCCCAATTTTGGCCCAATTGACCCCAATCTTGCCCAATTTCAATTCTAAACCAAAATTTAGCATCCCCAATTCTATTCTAATTAAAATTCAAAACCAATTTCATTCAATTCCAAAAAGGCCCAATTTTGACCATATGCCTAAATCCATCAAATTGGCCCACCAATTCAATTCAAAATCACTTGAAACTTTGCCAAATCTCTCATGAAATATTCCTACACCAAACTCAATATTCAATTAGCCCAAATTTTAGGCCAAATTCAATTTCAATTTCAAAGGCCCAAGCCCACTACACTTAATTCCAAAAGCCCAAGTTCAAATCAAGCTATTATTGGAAAGAGGCTAAACCACTTTCAAATATCCTTAATATTCTAATAACCCCTCCCATGAATAACTCTAACCCATGTTTAGCCAAATCTCCTTGGACAGAGACTTCACCATGCTAATTAAGCTGAACCTCCTGATTTTCCCCAGCACCAAAACCAGCCTTGAGCGGTGAACCCAACCCCAAAAAATGATTTGTCCCGAATTGACCCAAAATAGCCCTTTTCCCATATTATTTCAATCCATACCTTTACACATGGCCAACCCCAATTGACTTCACCAACACCAAGCCTTGACCTCTCTGAGTCAGATGCTGACCCCTCTCTGGCTGGCCAGCCAGCTTGGTGGTCGGAAAACCCAAAATCAAAAGCTCCATTATGATCAAAACTCAAAATTAAACCCATCCAAGTTGGCTCATCCCAATTGGATTTTTGCAAATTGTTGGCATCCACATAAGCAACTTAGGACACCCACCAATTGCCCCTGGTGGCCTCTCCTTCCCCATCTATTTAAACCCCCTTCCTCCATGAACAAAGGGCGAGAGCTTGAAATTCCTTGGGGAGACTCTAACAAATTACTTCCAGAGCCACTTTAAGACCTCTTGAACTTAACCCAACCCTCCTTAGCCACTCAAATCCACTTCCCGAGCTCAATTTTGGAGCTCAATTCCTAGGCTGAAGTAGGACACCTCTCAAACCTCCACCAAATCCAAATTAATTGCACCCACACCATCGTCAAAGTAAGAGAGGAAGATCCCCCATAAAAGCCCCATCACTAGAGCACCCTAAGGTGGACTTTGATTGGACCCCTAATTCGGCCTTGGTCGAATTCATATCTAGGTGATTCACCTCGGCTTAAGGCTCCATCTCTAAGCTCTTGGGTGCACCACGAAGCTTCCACAACCATCCAATCGAGGCATCCCCTCTTGGACCAAGGTATTGAAAGTTAACCCTAAACCAAACTTCATTTGATTCTCCATATGTATAGAATTGAGTTAAGGGTCAATTAACCGTATGGATATGTTCTCCTAGTCAAGACGAGTCTATAGGAACAAGCCTCACTTGATTTGGTTGGTATCGAGTGAGATATGAAGCCTAGAAAACAGACAGTTTGTGGGCTTGATTCGTTGGGGACGATGACCACGCGTCTTCTGATCTTCCGTGTATCGCTTGGATGGTCCTAATCGCACCGAACAGAGCTACGGTTCGAAAAGAAGGAGCTAACGCGGACGGCAATGCCCAATCCCGTGGTGACACGCGTCTCTTCAACGCGTACGAGGCTGACACGGATAAGTAGATAAATAGGATATTTTTTTTATTTATTTAAATAGCCATAACTTCAAAAATGCATAACTTTGTGTAAAAAAATCATAACAATAAAAGAAAAATATCCTATTGCTCAATGAAAAGAGGAGAACAATGTAAAAATATTTTCCAATGTGGAAATATTTTTATGTTCATTTTATGTATATTTTATTTTTAATTAATTAAATGATGTTTTCCTTATTTTGATTTTTCATTTGTATGGACATTTCACCATGACTTGATCTTTGGGGCTTTTATTCTACATGTCATTAGTTCTGATTTTTCTAAGGTTAGGGGAGATCTCTAAGCATAGATATCTAATTTTCAAGGAAATGACCCCTATTTTGGTATAAAAATTATAATAATTAAAATACTCATTAGAAAAATACAAAATTTATTTTGGTAGGTTCACTGTGGTAAGAGGAACCTAGGAAAAATATAAACTTAGTTTAAACCATTCAAAATAATTATAATTGTCACCAACCCTAAAAATGAAAAGAAAATTAATTTGGAGTAAATATAAATGTAAATGGTATAAAAATCATTCTCCACTGTATTTTAATGTTAGGCTAGTTCCCCATAAAAATTTGAAGTCAATTGGAGTTAATTTAACCATTCAAATGGATTAATTTAGTAAAATCACAGTTTTGGCATTAAAAACAATTCTAATAATTAAAATACAACTCAAAAAATTACAAAATTGGTTTTGAGAGCTCCTTATGACCAGAGGAACCTAAAAAAAATAAAAGTGGAATTAAAATAAATACTTCATTTTTAAGCTATTTTTAAGCATTTAAATTAATAAAATTAATTGAAAATCATAAAAATCACAAAATTATAAAAACACATCAAAATGTCACATTTAGCTTTATGATCACTTGGAACCAATTAAAATAATTTTCCTAATGTTCTAAGTCAAGATAGTAATTTTAAAAGCTTAAAAATCTATTTTCTTTAATTTTTCACTAAAATAATTCCAATAATTAAAATAAAAACCAAAAAAATATGAAATTTATTTCATTGGGTTCCCTAAACTTAGAGAGATTTAATAAAAATATAAAATTCAATTTGCCACTTAAAAAATATTTTATATTTAATTAATTCTAAAAAAAATAAGTAATTCTAATAATTAATTTAAATCTCTAAAAATCATGAAAATTGGTCTAAGTGTTCCTTTGAACTAGGTGAACCTTCAATAATTTTCTTAAGGATAGAAGTTTTATCTTGTTGGAGTTATTAAATTTTCATTAAAAATCCCTATTTTTACATTAAAAATAATTATAAAAATTAAATAAATTCAGAAAAACCACATTTTCTCTTCTGATGTTTTAATTAACCCATGAGTGAGGTAACATAAATTTTTAAGTCATTTGAGTCTAATTTAATGAATTATAGGGTATTAAGGCCTTAGGGGCAAAATGGTAATTTTAGAATTTAAGGCTTAATTAATATTTAGGCTTAATCAAATGACTATATGTGCAACAAATAATCTTAATTGACATGTCTTGATGATTGAAACATAAAAGGGATAAGTGGTAATAACCCATCTCATTTTGATCTTATAAAGGATAAATGTGTAATTTTCCAAAATTAATGAAATTTAAAAGAATATTTAAATAAGGAGATATTACGGTGAGGAGATTAATTTTAGATGATCACAAATCACTGATTTTAAACCCCCAACTAATGGTTTTGAGATGATTTATAATTCATTATGAGGATTAAGAATATAAATATTGAAAACCCTTTTTCTTAAAATTACAAATTTACCCATTAAATCTTAAGGACTT